CTTAAGCAAACTACGTGGCTTGTAGCACTGTGGCAAGTAAAATTGGCTGAAGAAATGTTAATGGGATGAGGTGGAGTCTTATTTGTGCTTTTGAGCATGTTTCTGTTGAAACTTAGTTCAGGGATGTATTTTATTTTTTTTTTTAAGACAGAAGAATGTATTTAGGAACATTGCTCTGTTATATACCTTACCTTCAACTCTTTCGGTGAAAACTACTTCAGCGTAGTGTAAAACTGATCCAAAGGCTGCCATGTGGGGATTAGGGTGGTGTAATTTGGAGAACAGATGCAGTGTGTGGTAGAGAGAAAGTAAAACAAGGATTTCTGTTTACTGAAGACAAGGACAAAGTAATTGAATAAAACTGAAAGCCAAGTCTTATATAGCCTGCAGGCTGAGCTAGGTACTTCATGTAGTCTGTCTTAATTGCTTGTGAAAGTAGCTTGCGCTCAGCGTTGACATTATATAGAACTTAAGAATGCAGCCGGGAAGCAAGCCGCTAAGTTGTGCCGTTTAAAATTCCTTTCAGAGCGGGGGGTTTTATTAGTATATGATGCATCTGTAATATCCCTCAAACAAATGTGCTGCTGGATTGGATGAAGCCCTATCGGCATGATTCAGAATAAAACATCCTCCAAATGCTCATTAAAAACGTGGAAGGGGTAAACGCTGGGTCTTGCACATAAGAGCTAGTGGCATTTCTCTCATTGAAAGTTGGTCAATACCTGTGTGAGATTGCAGAGCTCTGACTTCCTCGCACAGAAATGCCTATCCTCCTCCTTGGCTGGGTACTGTTGTCTCTGATATGCAAGTTAAAATAATCACGCTGAGATGGAAAGAATGTATTCCCTCTGTTATCTCTTTTAACACATTGTGAAATTAGTGGAGCATACTGAATTTTTTAAAGTCACTGCTATGTTATGGTTGTAGACAGTGTAGTTGGGGGAAATGAGATTAGAAATTCAGTGAAATGGAGTGGAAAAAGCAATTGATAAATTCTGGTGAAAATGTGGGATGGTGTGTAAAAATCCATACTGAAGGTAGAAAAAAAACCCCCTCAATGATTAAGCTGAAGAATGAATAATAGTTGGGAATCGAAACAGTGAAAAAGGCTTGATACATCTACAGGAAGAGTAGGGATGTGCCGACTCACAGTAGTGGTGTAGGAAATGTCATATCATGTATATGTATGATATACCCACAGCTAGAGTACCCAGCCATCTCCTGTTGTGCTCTTCTCCAGTCTCCCTTTGAAGAAGGAAATGAATTGGGCATTAAATCTGTTAATTGCACAGCACTTGCAGTGCATCATAAATCCTGTCTGAGTGCTAGAATAAGAGGTATTTATTGGCCAAGTGTAAAAATTGAGAGAGAGAAGATTGGATGAGGAATACACTGGAAATGTTGAAACACAGGAATGTCTTGAGGCAGATTCCCTTTGAGTTTTAAAAGCCTTCTGGTTTAGTGACTTCCTCTAGCTTTTGGGTCTTCCTTCAGATCTCTGGCAATAAAAAGGCTGTTTCCTAGATAGCTTATAACTCAAAGTTTAGTGTGTTGGACCCATTGTTTAACTGTCTCTCTGGGCCTGTCCCCAAGGGTCTGTCAGCCCGCAAGCATTGCAGGCTGCGTTATGATGTGTGGCAGGAGTTTCTATCTGAGCAACCGTTTTCAGAAATCATAGAATCACAGAATGGTTTGGGTTGGAAGGGACCTTGAAGATCACCCAGTGCCACCCCCTGCCCTGGGCAGGGCCACCTCCCACCAGCCCAGGTTGCTCCAAGCCCCGTCCAACCTGGCCTTGACCACCTCCAGGGATGGGGCAGCCACAGCTTCTCGGGGCAATCTGCCCCAGGGGCTCACCACCCGCACTGGGAAACATTTCTTCCTCATATCTCATCTAAATCTGCCCTCCCAGTTTGAAGCCATTTCCCCTCGTCCTATCACTACGTGCCTTTGTAAAAAGTTCTTCCCCAGGTTTCCTGTAGCTCCTTCAGGTACTACAAGACTGCAATAAGGTCTCCCCAGAGCCTTCCCTTCCCTACAACCCCAACTCTTTCAGCCTCTCCTCACAGCAGAGGGGCTCCAGCCCTTGGAGCATCTTCATGGCCCTCCCCTGGCCCTGCTCCAAGAGGTCCGTGTCCTTCCGATGCTGGGGGTTCCAGAGCTGGATGCAGTACTCCACACTCAGTCGTAGGAGCTCTTGGCCCCTGCTACATCCGCTGGCATGGTGATGAAGCCTGTCATTATGCCCCTAAAAGAAGGGCAAGATTCGCTTCTTCAGTAGTTTGTTGCAGAAGTTTAGATCCCCTTTTCTTAGATTGGTGTGTGTTTTATTTCCTTTTCCATCTGGCACACCTGTCTTGCCATTTTCAAGAGGAATCAAATTTGGTCAGACTAAATTTTGTGCCTTAAGACCAGTATTGTGTCTTGACACTGAATCCTACAAGAAAGGGGACAGTAACAAGGGAGATGTGTAGTTTTACTCACCCACAGTATCCCCCAAGTGCCGGCAGTCCACGGCTCAGATAATTCCAGAGCCAGCATTGCCGACTGTGTTTAATGGCACTTGATGGACTCTTCCCCAGTGAATCTGTATAGTTTCTTTCTGAACCCTTATAAACTTACAGCATCCATAATCTTCATTAGCAAGGAGTTCTCCTGCTTAAATAGGTGCTGTGGGTGGAAACATCTTTTGTTTGGAAGCAGAATGGCCTTCTGCCTATTCTGTTGGATGTTTTCCTCCACCTCATTTAGGAACAGACCCTGTTACTCCTTGCTCATCCTTTCCTATGCCACTGATGTTGTTTCAGAGCCATATCGTGTAGGAGACTTCAGTCTTCTCTGGAATGAAGTGTTCTAGTTTTATTAGGTGCGTGCCATAAACAAGATATTCAACACCTCCTCTCAGCTTTGGCTGTGCCCTGGGTATCGAACAGCGTGGTGGATTAGGATGGGATTTGTCCAGTGAATTAGGACTCAATGCCTGTGCTTAGCTGCATTTCACAGAAGTTTGCATCAGCTGATTTTAGCCTAGCCCTATGGCCCGGGTGCTAGTCTAGTTAGCATTTGGTGTGGTAGTGGCTGTCTCCTTGTTTAGATTCACTCAGAGAATCCAGCTCATGTGGCCCAGGATGGCTCTGATGAGAATCGCAGTGCATGAAGCAGCAGCGACTGGGAGATGAGTTTCAAAGGCGCACTTCTGATCCGAGCCAAAATGCTGGTGTAGAGCTTTGAACGAGCTCCTCCTGCACCTTGGCTGGATCTTCAGATTCCCTTTGAGATTTGGGGACCAGAACTATCTGCCGTTCAGGGTTCAGGCAGTGCCATGGTACCTTCTGGTTTTGTTCTTTAGTCCTGTACTACCAATGCCTAACGCTTGATTTGCTTTCTGATAGCTGCCAAGCACTGAGGTGGTATCTCCGTGAAACGGCCACGTCAAGATTTAGCTTCTGAGTCGCGGTGGTAGGAGTCTGTTTCTGTGAATGTTAAGGTAGATGGTCTTTCCCTTGTGCATCACGTACTGCCTATGTCCACTGAACTTCATCTGCCAATTTACCACCCAGCCTCTTGCCTTACGAGCCCCATTCCTTAAAACGCCAGCTGTTCATCCCTTAGTTTTAGCATCTGATTCTTTAGCTTTTTCCCCTCATCTTCCACTTCGCCTAGGGAGAGCTGGTTTCCATTATGGCTTTTGCTCACTTCTCACAATTCTGACAGAAAATAGTTTTCCTTTTTAAACTTGCGTTGCAGATCCCTCCTGGGTTGAAATAGCAAACGTGAATGTCTATATGTGTTTGATTTTTATTACTTGGAGTAAGCTTGACTCTTACTGCTAGTGCTGAATGGCAGAGCAAGAATGGGAAGGCCTAAAAGAAATCATTATTGATGCTGTCTGGTGTTGTAAAAGCAGAGTAGTCCAAGGTCATGGATCTGGTATCAACTGCCTGGAATGCAATAAAGTGACCACATCAGTCGCAGCTAAGTTTGTAATATAAATAATCGATGGCAAGATCCAGATCTTTGTGTGATCTCTTGCAGTCAGGCATTCTTGGTGTGTATTTTACTAATTAAATGAAAAAATTTCAAACTATATTTGAGTTTAATTTGACATTGGTACCAGACTTAGGCAGGGGGAGGGGACAGAACAAAGCATCTACTTGAATGATGTTCAAGACAATGGTACACCGATGGAGAAGTTTGTGAGAAAGCTAGGATCTGGGTGCCCCAGGGTGACAAAATACAACAGAAAGTCTTTTGTGTCTGACTCTATAGTTGTGTGGGTAGGCACTGACTGGTTGCAGTTTGCTCCAAATAAAAATTATGAAGCAGAATATTTATTTTTTTTGATGCTACAACCAATTTATGCTGGTGTTGGCTTTGCACTAGCAGCTGGTGTGGTACCTCTCCCAGCGTAGAGAACAGGTACAATTCTTGTCAAGGTCTTTGCTTTTCTGTACTGTACGAGTCTACTCCGCCTCAAATGTGTAGTTTTCATTGCAGTTACATTATCTAAACTACCTAAAGTGAGTGCATAAAAAAAAAAAGAATGACAGAGCTGAAGTATTTCTGCATTTCTGTGAAGCTGGTGTGTAGAACGGAGAGGGTCTACAGACACAGAAATCCACAAACTTGAAGTCATGACAGGGTATGTGCTCTGTGCCATACTTCTTCACGAGTGTTTTTAGTGCAGAACTTGGGCAGCTTGCCTTGATTTTTAGCTGCCGTGTTAAATGCGATAAACATAGGAGATGGTGGGTTTTGAGGTTGGGGTTCCGCGGGTCAGAAAGCACAGGCCGTCCGCTGGAAGCTTAACCAGGAGTTTCCAGTCTGCTCTCAGTTCTTCTACGTTGAACTTGCGGAAGACCTCAGTTATCCCATTGACACGTAAGACTGGAAATAAAAACTTCCTGAAGCTTTTGACAGTGCATTTTTATTGCTTGCTGCAAGTGCCCTGAGGGATGGGGACGGTTCAGCTCATGTCCAGAAGCGCTGTTGTAGAGCCATTCAGCAGCAGTGATTGGAGGTCTCTGCTTCTATTTAGGATGCACAGAAATGAGCAGAGAGCTCTTGCTTTAAGTCTATTCTATACCCCATCAATTTCTAATGCATATAGCTACCCTTTCATACGCACACCAGTAACTCGGACATGTACTAGCGTAAACTTTGTCAGAAATTCCAGTTTGGCTAGTGTGGCATGCGAACCCAGAGCCCTGGTGTGTACAACATGCTCTTGTACAATAAAATCCCTTGTTACTACATTTGGAAACGATAAATCATGTTACATAAAGTAGCTTGACAGGTCCTATTTCAATGGGAATTTTAATGCTTTCATATTAACATTCTGACTGTGTCCTTGACTGTCTGGATTGCATTAGAGGTGCTTGGCAGCAAATGGAGAAAAACCATTGGGGGCTGGTTTCAGAGCAGGCATTCCAGGCGCAAATTATTTCAGCTGATTTATTATTTTTTTCCCCTGGTTCCCATCTTCTGTTTGGCCTCAAGTGCTTAAGTACCATAGCTGGGTTTGGTTGGGGGTGGCCGTTGTATTTCTTTTATTGTTAGCTTTTAATCTGCTTTACAGTCGTATAGCACGACGAGAAGGTGAGCGAGGAGGTTGAACCCCAGGTTGCTGCGCTCTGCTGCCGGGAGGAACTCTTGTGTGCTGCCCAGGGTGGTTTGGCTCTCGGGGTATCGAAAGGATGTCTCGACACTTCTGGGTTTAGACTTGGTGGTCTCATAACTTGCTAAATGCTTCTTTTGCACCCTATTTCTGCGTTTAGTGCACTTATGGAAATGTACTAATCCAAATAAGTAGTTTCCTTGATCTTAATTGCACTATTTTGCTTTTCTTCCCTAAGCTTCTTTGAGCATCTCTGATGCTTGAAAATGAATGGGCGAGAAAGTGCCTAGCTTATCTGTTCAATATCTTTTGGGAGAAATAATTTTGCCTTCAGAACCACCAGCGAAGGTTATTTCTACGCCTGATACTCTTGCGATTTACAGAATGGAGATGTGTTTTCATTATGAATTTGCCTATTAATAACGTTGATCCCCAGCTTTGTATTCCCATCAAGGATCCAAGCTTGGACAGCAACGCATCTGAATTTTCACATGAATGTAGAACTTTATTTACAGCAAGTATCTATATATTTGAAAGGGCTCTTGCATAGCCCTTTTAATGAAAGCAACTGTTTCTGCGGAAATAGATGTGAATTAAAATGGCAGACTGATCCATATTTATGATAAAGATGCTGATAAAGATTTTGCCTTGAGATAATCTACACTTTCTTTTTTAATATTGTTTCTGTCAGTTTAAGATGCTTGAATGCTGACGTGATGGACGTGGTTTGAAAGCCTGGATGGATTTTCCTGTCATGGACTTTGCTGTTCAGTAGAGAGCTGTGCTGTTATGCTGGGCGCTAATTTCCATAGACATTATCAGATTGACAAAGATGCTGCTTTTAAAAACAAAAAAATTCCAAAGTGATACATTTAACGTTTACAGGCTGAGGTAGAGTAAATAATTCCGCATACTTGGAGTGAAGCCTGATGAAGATAAGAATTTCACACTGCATCAGTTGGGCATTTTTGGGCCACAGAAACGAGTTTCCAGGTTGCCTACCCAACTTCATCCTGGTTTGGGACTTGGCATGCGGTGTGTTTTCAGAAGACATTCTGGCAACTTTAGTTTCTTAGGTAGTAATACAAGAGCCTGTGGAAATAAACGGATGCCAGCTCATGCAGAGCTTTATCAGCCTGGTGAGCTTTGGGTTTTAAAGCTCTTCAGAGCTCCCTGTCGTTCCAGTGGTTACTCTGAGCTCATCTGGATGCGCAGGTGGAATTGCTGCTTTAGACATCCCGAACAACTGCTGCAGTGAGGGAGCTCAGCCTCGGAGGGAGGGAGGGAGGGAGGGAGGGAGGGAGGGAGGGAGGGAGGGAGGGAGGGAGGGAGGGAGGGAGGGAGGGAGGGAGGGAGGGAGGGAGGGAGGGAGGGAGGGAGGGAGGGAGGGAGGGAGGGAGGGAGGGAGGGAGGGAGGGAGGGAGGGAGGGAGGGAGGGAGGGAGGGAGGGAGGGAGGGAGGGAGGGAGGGAGGGAGGGAGGGAGGGAGGGAGGGAGGGAGGGAGGGAGGGAGGGAGGGAGGGAGGGAGGGAGGGAGGGAGGGAGGGAGGGAGGGAGGGAGGGAGGGAGGGAGGGAGGGAGGGAGGGAGGGAGGGAGGGAGGGAGGGAGGGAGGGAGGGAGGGAGGGAGGGAGGGAGGGAGGGAGGGAGGGAGGGAGGGAGGGAGGGAGGGAGGGAGGGAGGGAGGGAGGGAGGGAGGGAAGGATGGGGGCGCTCGGCCTCAGAGGGGAGGGCAGCACGTCCGGGCTCGCGGTGCTTGCCGTGGCTGGTGGGAGATGTAACTGCAGCCAGCCTCTGCTGAGGCTACCAATTCACTTTTGTGAATGGCACAACTTGAAAGTCCTGACTGCTTTTCCAGGCCCAAGGCAGCATTTTTGCTATGCAGTGAGAATGTGTTTCTTAAAGAAGTGTGTGGCTGGCTTAATGCCGACTTAAAGAAGCCCAACAAATGCCCAACGTTCACACCTGAAGTCTAGTTCCAGCACAAGCTTAGTGGGCTGTTGAAATCTTAAATTATTGCTCTTCTCCATCCTCTTCCTGCAGCCCTTTGCTGCTTGTTTGGCGCAAAATTGCTGGTAATAATTCTTAAATTGAATAGATTTGACAGCGGTAGCAGGGACTTAGTCTGAACTGTCTCGTACAGCAGTACTCAGCCTTGCAGTCTTTCCACGCTTTTCAGCAGTTTGTTGTAGACTCGTAATACATGTAAAAGGAGGGAGGTTGCTGCCCTTGCATACGGTGCTTACTCCGTGTGTGCAGCAGAATTGACGTCTAGTGCTGTCTCTAAACTTGAGAATTGAGTCTTGGGATACCTCGTGTGGCAGTGAAGGCTTCCTTCCTACCCCGTCCCTCCTTTCCTCCCGCACCTCTTTAGGGTTGTATTGATCAAACATCTATTTTTCAGTTCTTGTTAGACATATGTCTATCTCCAATGTTAACACGTATCTGATGTCTTCTAATGTTACATTATAAATCCTTTCTTAATCTAATGTTGATCAAATAACATTTCAGATGGTGGAAGGAAGACCTGAAATAATGTGTGCATGCTCGTTTGTGATACGGCGGTTGGCATTTAGCAGCATTTTGCTTTTGTTGACCTGTAAACCATTTTACATAAATATGCTATAATGGTATGCATGGATTCTGCTTTAAAATTCTGTGTGTTGTGACTTATTCATTTGAATGCTACTGTTTTGTAGGAAAATATTTGACTCCCTCTGCCTACGTAAGATTAAATATATAATTACCCCTAATGAAGCTCCATTTGGTGATACTTGAGTACTCTCTCAAAGCCAAAATCGAGGAGTATAGATGGAACAGAGCATGTAAGTTTGCACAGTGACTACTGATCTGTGGATAAACAGTCTTTTAGCCTCCAGCAGGATCATGCTCTCAGTGTGCAGAAGTATTACACACACAACTGGGCTTTTGAATCTCTCTTGTTGGAGGAAAGGAATGATGGAATTATTACAAAGATGGAATACTACAGTTCTGGCATTACAACAAAATACTTGCATCTCAAGTCCTGGACTTCCCCTTTTTTCTTTAGCCTTGATCTAGTACAAACTCTGGATTAAGTTCCCATCTTTCTGCCGGATGGGATTCAGCAGATTTTTTCAGTATCTCTTCACCTTTTTCATCCATCCTGATGCAAGCAGTAGAGGTCTCGATGGGAACCCAGAATTTCTGTTCTAGATGTGGTGTTTAATATCTAGACGATGCTCTTTGCTGAACCTATTTTATCCTGTGGAAGAAAGCTGATGTTCTGTAATGCTCGTAACGTGTCCCGGAGCTTTAGACCTACTTTGTCCCAGAAAGTCAACTGAATCAATACAGAATAATTAGCGTTTGTGGCTTATCCAAGTAGTGGCAGCCCTCTGGAATGTAAATAGGGGTGGAAGAGTGACTTCATCCTTCGCATGTCTGAGGAAAGGATGCGGGTTAAGCTGTATCTTGGAAAGCTGCTGAAATAGAGGAGAAAACTTTGGCTTCCTACTCATCTGCAGAGGGACACGTTTCTTCAGCAG